GTATATGTCGAGTATATATATATATATATATATATATATATATATAAGAAAATAAGAAATTATTTAATTCTGCAAGGATGCATTAAATTGATAAAAAGTAACGTATTACGTACAGTAACGTACAGTAAAGACATTTATAATGTTATAAATATACTTCTATCATAGGAATAGATTATATTTTTGAATATATTAAATTGTTATTTTACATTGTTACATTTTGACATATTACATTTAATTGTAAATTGTAAAATTTCACAATATTATGTATTTATTTATTTATTTGATTTGATTTGATTTGATTAAATAAATGCAGCCTCGGTGAGCATAAGAGACTTTTTCATAAACAGACTTATTCTCAGCACACGTGCCATCCCTTGACCTTGAGATATATCTGTCTTCATGAAACATTTTTTTTTTTATTTATAAACCATCTTCTGAATGCATACCACCTTGAAATACCAATGCATTACAGATCACACATCTTGAATGATGCATGCTGATTGAATATAGAAATGAATGTATGAATACAGAAAAAAGCATCCATCTGCATTAGTCAGCTACTCTTCCACACTACTGATGCATCAAGGGAGAATATATCCAAATGAGTCAGCCGTTCCTTTTGGTGCTGATGTTGTGGCTAGTCCTTTCCGCAGCTGCAGATCCAGCTGTTATGGCCACAGCACCATATTGGGAGTTGCATCATGCAAATAAAAAGCAGCCAAGCATGTGGACATGTGGCATGACAAAGTGATCATGCATATGTGTGGATTTGACTGTCAAAGTGCATGAAGATATGTCAATCTGCATGCTTAAAGGAGTGCAAACTGTTTTACAATTGTTCTAAATATGTGTGAAATATATGTGTTAGAGTGTGCATGAATAAATCGTTTTTTTAATTACACGAAGGTTTGCGGAAGCATATTGCATGGTAGTCCTTGGGGACAGCGAGAGGGAAGCAATTTAAATCTGTTGCCATAAGTTCATTATGTTGTGGAGTGTTTGTTTTATTATAGGATGAGTGTGTGCACACTCAGATGATAGTGGATTTCAAGAGCTAGTCATTTCAAATCTACACTGTTTAAAGTGGTAAGTACCATAATGGACAAAGGAACATGTGCAATAATCTGTTTTTAATGAGAGGTGAGTGTGGGTGGAGTGACAGATAGTATAAATATAGACTGACTGGGGAAAATAGCATAGAAACAGCAGGTACAATTCACTCAAAAATGAAAATTTTTGAGATTAGGGATTTTACAGTATCTAAAGGAATAATTTTGCAAGACATTTTACATGCTGCTACAGTATGCTCACTCTCTTACTTGCTGCTATCACAGTATGTTACAATGGCCTTTTAGTAGCCTAGTGAAGGACAACACAAATAACACGCCGGTCAGACCGTCATGCAGCCCCGCTATGCTTTAAACTGCAGGTCAAGTCAAGAAAATCACATGCTGTTACTTTGACTTTCTTAAATCTAAGAACTCCCACATATAATCAATACTCAAGTTGAATGAAGTAGTTAAAGTGCTGTGTGTAATTGGTATGAAAACACAGTTGAGCTAATTAGACAATTGTTTCTTAACAGAGGTTGAGGGGTTATCTGAGGCAATACTGTTTTTGTCGGTTATCTGACTGGTTTATTGACCTCATCGGCCACCACATACTGACAGGGCTCCTTTCAGCTGAAATCCTTTGGTTTCAGGTATGCCCTTTTTGTTGTTACATGTCAGTCTTCCTCTCAGAACTCTATTCTTGGTCTTTCAATCAATACACTCACAAGGCCAGTGTCTGTTTCATTACGTGCGTCTGATTCTCAAAACAGTGTATCACCTCTTCTAGTGAATCTCCCCCATAGCCACACTTCAGCAGGCCACAAAATCAATCAATACAGTAATTAATGCAAACACGCCAGGTGTTCTGTCTAGAGCTGCGAACCATGAGGGGGAGTTAAAGGCTTTGTTTTATCTCCACGTTACATTGTGTCAAAATTTGTGACTCAGAAAATAGATTATTCTCATTCACTTGACAACTGTTGTATGATGGATTGATTAGATATGGGCATGAGTGGGATGTTTGCATAAAAAACATTCAGGCAAGAATTAACTAATTAATAGCAAGTCAGAATCCTTTTGTCTCCATGTGTCTAACTATATAAGTGACCCTGGAGCACAAAAGCAGTCATAAGTCACACATGTATATTTGTAGCAATAGCCAACAATACATTGTATGGGTCAAAATTATCAATTTTTCTTTTATGCCAAAAATCATTCGGATATTAAGTAAAGATCATGTTCCATGAAGATATTTTGTAAATTTCCTACACTCTAAAAAATGCTGGGTTGTTTCAACCCAACTTTGGGTCAAATATGGACTAACCCAACTTTTGGGTTAAAACTTTAATTTAAAACTTTAATTAAAAAATTTAACCCAACAGCTGGGTTAGTCCATATTTGACCCAACGTTGGGTTGAAACAACCCAGCATTTTTTAGAGTGTACCATACATATATTAAAACTTAATTTTCATGTAGTTATGTCCATTGCTAAGAACTTCATTTGGACAGATTTAAAGGCGATTTTCTCAATATTTTGATTTTTTTGCACCCTCAAATTCCAGATTTTCAAATAGTTTTATCGCGGTCAAATATTGTGCTATCCTAACAAACCATACATCAATGGAAAGCTTATTTATTCAGTTTTCAGATGATGTATAAATCTCAATTTCACAAAAATGAACCTTATGACTGGTTTTGTGCTCCAGGGTCACATATAAGAATATAGTGTCCGTGGTGCTGAAGTGATAACCGGACACAATAAGAATATAGTGTCGCTGTCCGTGGTGCTGAAGTGATAACCGGACACAATAAGAATATAGAGTCGCTGTCCGTGGTGCTGAAGTGATAACCGGACACAATAAGAATATAGTGTCGCTGTCCGTGGTGCTGAAGTGATAACCGGATACTATTAGAATATAGTGCCGCTGTCCATGTTACCGAAGTGATAAACGGACACAGGGGAAACAGGAGGTCAGTGAGCAACTCAAAAGTTAGAATCACATTCAGATCGCTGTTTATCGACCGGTTGTAATGTTCTAAACGAACATTGATTGTGCAGGGGTGCTAATAGTTGACCAACAGACTATTTAATCAACTTCGTCATGCTGTCCTCGTGAGCTGAGTCTGGTCCAATGATGCCAAGCTCACACTCTCTCCATTTACTTGCACTTCCTCTCTTCTCGTTCTTTTGCGGCAGCAGATTAGAGTTCACACGCCATTAGTCACGGTGGGGTGTTGCGGGCGGATCCCGCGCCGAGAAATCTTCGTTGTGTCAGGATCGCTTTGTCCCGCCGCGGCGGCTTATCTCCGGGACGAACGCACAATTACTTTTTAACGATTTCATGCCGGTTCATTACGAGAGCAGAGGCCCGCACACAGAGACTTATAAAAGGTAATCAGACCTAATTAAGCTCGCACCGGTGCCTATCGTATAGAATAATGTGGTCAAACTTCAGTGCCGTGACCCATGCTATTATAGACCTAAATACCAAGAGACGTTTTCACATTAGCGTCTCCCTATATCTCTCTCAATATATGAGAGTGGGTATGTGTTAAGATAATTCACAAAAATACCTTTAAAGACACTATAGTACCAGATTTTGCCCAAACTCTGTAATATATGCATTTTGACCTTGATTCTGTATTGACCCCCATAAAAACAATTGAGAATATCTCTTTTAAAGCACCCAATGTCTAAAAGCTTAATGGCACTCTTATGGCGGCCTGTGGAAAGACAGAGTGTGAAAGCTTTCATCTTTTTGTAAAAGAATGAAAACTCTGGCAGGTTTAAAGAGACTGCTAGTGCAAGTACATTATCAATCTTGCAAGTGACAGCTTCATAGATGAGAGTCCGGGAGTCTCGTGGTGTGGAGAAAACCTAACAGCTGTGCTTCTTTTAACCTTCATTTGATGTTTTCTTTTCCCAGCCAATCATCCATTTTTCATCTAGGAGACGAATCTTGTCATCTTCTCAGTGTTAGGTATGATGTTCTTGAAATCAAAAGCACAAACAGGTTTTTGCTCGCTGCTGTGCGAGCACACACACACACACACTTTAAACAGTGCAGACTATTGCGATGCATTTACTGTACACGTCCTTTTGTTTTCTGAGATTCAGAAATATAGATCTGTGATAGCTCTGTTATTTTTCAGACAATAAATGAAAACAGATGGCAAAATAATTTAACACAGCCATGGTGACAGCTCTGCTCGAGTATTGCAAGTAAAATAATTATGGAATATAAAATCTGGCCTTCAGTAAATACAGTAAAACGATTCAATGAACAAACATTTGATCATGAGAGGCTCATTGCGTTGTTTATCATGAAGTGATCATGCCAATTACAGTATGTCAGATCTCTTTAGATATTTACTGATAAACTATGACAGCATGCTAAATGAGATTGCAGCTCATACTGACTCTCTGTCATGAGTTTTCCTGAGTGGACACTTAATATTCTTTCACACAAAGCAGATCACAAATAAAATGTGTACCAAACTAGTGTAATTAATAGGCAGTGTTTGTACACCTAAAGAAAATAATCTTAATAATAATCATGGCGAATTCTTTGTGTCTGAAGATCAGTGAGAAGGGTTTTGTCTGGGGCAGCTGGCTCTCAAGTGGCTATAGAGGCCAATCTTGGACTTGCACGCTTTGGAGCAGATGGGGCAAGGAAAGATCGGGTCGCTGCTGTTGGATAATTGGACAGCCAGACCTTTTCTATGTTTGCGATTCTCCTGGGTAGTTATCACTCTGCGTTCTTCCAGCTCCCCAGCAGCTTTCTATAGGAGGGTCCTCTAACTGGATCTGTCTGCAGCCAGTGTCTCCCAGTTTTTGGGATCAATGTCAACCTGCAACAACTGTCGCTTTAGCTGATCCTTGTAACGCTTACATGGGGCTCCTCAATCACGCTTGCACTGGCAAACTTACCCATATAGCACTGCTTTTGGCAATCTTGCATCATCCATGCGTGATCCGTGACCTATCAGGCAAAGCTTTCAGAGCAAGACCCATATATTCCTAGATACCTAGATGAGAGACCCCTCATATGACTGTAAAGTGCTTCGGGTGTACAGCAATACACAGAGCGCTATATAAATACCTTATTCATTCATTCGTTCATTCATACTAAATGCTGTACTTGCAGTATATTCTTTGAATACATATTTAAGGAAAAGTGTCTGCATTTGGTCCAAATGTTGTGTAATATATGCATTTTGATCTTAATTCAATACTGGCCTCACACAAAAAAATACAAATAGTACTTTTAAAGGAGCACTGTGTGAAAGCCTAATGGTGCTCTAGCTTAATGGTAGTCTGTGGAAGGAAAGAGTGTGTGGAAGCTTTCATCTTTTTTGTAAGAGGGTGAAAACAACGGTAGTATAATGCCATAGAAAAATAAATAAATACAGTATATTCCTGACTACTGATTGGTGTACAAAGTATATGTATTGGGACTTTACTGCAAACATGACCAAGTGTAGCAAGTGTAATGTAACACACACACACACACAAACAAAAGCAAATAGGATGTGCTGGTGCTTAGGTTCCCATTGTGCATGTTTTATTTTGCTTTGTCACTTTTAAACTGCTAGTTATATATATATATATATATATATATATATATATATATACTTCAGCGTTATGACTTCTATACTTTATATTGGCAACATCTGTTTACTTGCCTAAATATTAGATGTTCACACACTGTATGCATTGCTACTGCTTAGCCAGAATTAAACTTAATTCAAGTCATCTCCTATATTAAAATCCTGTTTTCCTCAAAACCTCATGTCTCCAGTCAATCAATAAATTACATTCAGCATATTGTGTATGCATGATGGCATCGGATGACCTTTAAATGGCTGTGCAAAAATAACCATCCTGAATTGATTGTATGTAGGGGATATTAGGGTGAAGGAGGGAATTATTTTCACATTTGAGACCATTAGACGCCAGTTAGATGTCTGAATTACGCAGGCGTGACAAGCAGATATACTGTAGACTCTCACAAGCAGGACATCAGTAAGCAATAGGATCCAAACCACAACAGATAAATCAGGTCATGCATTTGCACAGTTGCCCTAAGTGTGAATTATAACCTGTTTATATTCAGAGGTGAACTGTGCACGGTAAAAAATGTAGTGTGACTTCACAGTGGACGAGAGCAGGAATGTAGCAGTAATCTAATGCAATGCTGCTATTTTTGCAGATTAAGTGTAATGGCAACAGTAATTTGCTAGTGCCTAGATTCCCATCATGCATTGCGGCATGAATAAATTATGCGGTTGCATTTTTGTACAACGTGCCATTCTATTTTGCTGTTTCTGTTGTTGTCACTTTTAATTACCTGTGATGTTTTGTTTATTTATTTATTTATTTTTAATCTAATCTGTTTCTTGATTTTCATCATTGCTATGTATGTTAAGCTGAGTGTTAGAATTTGTGAAACAATAACTCAGAATCATTCAGAAACAATAACTGCCTTACCACAATAGTATTTTGAAGTATTATATATTTTCTGTCCTTACATGTGCAATATTCAAATTGCAGTTACAAGTTGCCAGTCAGTCTTGAGTCAAAGTTTTTGTTCCACATGTAAGTGCAACCACACTGTGTTATGAAGCACTATTACATCAGCTGCATGGGGGAAAATATAATTAAAATAAATAAGGTCCAAGTTTCCAGCCACAAAGGAACACTAATCAACATAATGACTTAATGAGAATTCAAACAAAACAATTGTTTACAAAAAATACATTACAGATTTGTAGTGTTATGATTTGAAAATGACCAGATCTGAATGGATTTCATAATCAAATTCTGAATTTAGTTGTAATAAATTACTGTAAATTCTTACAAAACACTGGCAATACTTTGCAGTGCACCTTCAGGTTTTTTTCCTTGCATTATAGTTCATAATATAGTTAAAGGATGATGTGCTTAATATTACTATAATTGCAAAAGTTCAAAAGAGCTGAAGAATGTTTCAACATCTTAAACATAGAAATAGGTATGCATACAGAAATGTGCCAGTGATGATAAAAACGCATGAAATAACATTAATGCACAGACAACCTGTGCAGTTTGAGTCTCCTTACAGGAGCCGCAGACCAAAGGAGTCTTACTGTTTATGTGCCATGTTTTAAATACGCACGCCGGACTTCGCTAGCCTTGACTGGAGCGCGGGACGGCACAGCACAGAGTGGAAACGAACACCCTCTAGTGCTGATGAGCTGGTCTTCCGTCTAGATCCGCAAAACTCACTTGGGCTTCTCACCTCAAGATCACATTTCGCGCGACTGAGACTGAAAGCGTCGGGGAAGCTCTCGTGCCTGGTATGTCTGCGTGCGCCAGACTGATTTGACTAGTTTAAGCGCGTAATATACGCCAGGCTTGTGTGTCGACGGCACATAGTGTGAAGAAGAGAAGCGCGTGTTAACGCGTAGAGAGGGGGAAAGCCCGTTAATGGACACTGACGACTGGAGAACACACTTAGTCTAGTTTGTTATTTCAAGTGTTGACAGCCTGACAGCATTAGGGATAACTTATCTCACAGTCTCTATCCTATTTATGGGGTAAATTCTGTAAGTTTTTCAAGTGCCGCCGGTAGTTGTGCGTAATGGGCTGGCATTTCTGTCGCTCTGTATCCGCGTTTTCGCGGTGCGGGGAAAGAGGCGGTTGACGCGCAAAATCCTTTACAATAGTTACATGTGTTTTGTTACTGGATACTTTATCTCGGACTCATTTCTGTAGTAACTGTCGCCGACTTGCGTGCACAGCTGGATACAAAAAAATGACTTTTCAAATATTTTTCTTCATGTTTGCTTTACCGGGATTGGTTTTGTCGGACCCCGGCCATTCAAACCAAGGTGAGTTATAATGAATTGTGATTAATAGGTTGATACTGTATCATAACCTACTAACATGCACAGTGTGTTTTTATAGTGCGTATTGTCTGTAAAGGAGACGCTATAACCGCATTCAGCCTTTCAGTTTGGTTGTAGGCTACATTATATATTTCTACAACTGGCAAATGAGAGTTGTACCGACTATTCAGAATATTATACATAGTTTTGATTTGTGCAGGACAGATTAGAACGCTGTGATTACTGTCGTTCTGTAGTTCTGCAGCTAGTCTTATGCTCAGCATCACACAAACGGGGTACCCGTATAGGAAAGACCGGGGAATGTTGTAACACATTTCAACGTCTGTAACTCGTGTTTTATTTTCTCTCAACTGTAAAACACTGATATGATATTCCCATATTTTTCTGTTTCATATTAAAGTAGTTTAGAAATGTTAAACCTATCTCTACAACTGTAAATCAAGGTCAAGTATAGAGAGTGTTGTTGTTGGCACTACCATATGGGTTGTTAAACAAATGGAAAACATGGGGATTTTACATTCTGTGCATGAATTTGTGAACATCAAATATATTTTGCTAAAAAATACACTCCTCAACCTAACCCAACCTGCTTCATTTAATTCAAAAAGGTAAACATAGGCTTATGGGAAACATTTTAATTCAAATAAATTGCAAACGAATACAGAAAAACTAAGCATATGCTAAAAATTGCGCACATATTGGTCACTCTCACAGTTGTGACGTTGTCCATTTTGTGCAATATTTGTGGGTCCACATTGAAAAGTAGTGCTACCCTCCTTGTCAAAAGCTTGTGTGGATGTTAGAACAAGAGGACCTGGTGGTTCTGATGATAACGTGATAATCGTTATAAATAAAAGGAGTACAACAGCTTGACACTGTACCTTTTGACATCAGTCTGAAATTTATTTCTTATGAAAGGTACATATTAATATCTTAAGATGTACTAAAGGTAAAGTGGGTGTATGTTTTAGGGTACTGTCCCAGTGGCAAGCAGATTTTTCACTTTTTATTCATTCATAGCTATGATCACCAACGATTTTTAAATCAGACGTAAAATATAACTTCTTATCTCAACATTGTGTTTTGTCCAGTAAATCTTTATATTCTTACACAGAAACATTTACAGTCTCTTCAGGAGGATAATTGTGATGTCTGATTTACTCATCCTGCATTAACACACCCGGGTCTCACCTAAGAGACGAAATTGCAGTGATGGTATCTCATCGCACCTGTCCCATTTCCCCACTGTGTGCCTGCAACTCCTCCCTTCTGTTTACACTCACAGTTCGCAGTGGTCATTTACACAAGAAATGAGTAAAATGGCAGTATTTCGAATATGAACATTACAAGAACAAGTGACTCTTGTGTTATGTCTGTGTGTTGTGAAGAGAGAGGAACGGAGCATATTTGTGTGGGATGTGCAGAAGATAGAGAGAGAACACTCAAACCATCTGAGTTGGCTTGCATGGCATTTAAAACTTTTTTCCTAGTTATGAGTCATCCTTATTTTTTTCCCGAGCCGGGATGGAAAGCAGTTATTTAACAGGTCACTGTTTTCTCAGTTTAAACCATCACAAATTAGGCAATAGATCTGGAGACAGTTCTTTTCAATGTGAACCTATAAAAATGGAAATTGAGGGTTTGCAGTTCACTTGAACAAAAATCCTGCTTTGTGATTAACACTGATGCTAATGTCCAATTAGTATGCATGAAGAGATGACCCTACATAACCTTGCAATATATTTATCTTTTGCACTGCCATATAAGAACGGTCTGCTCATTTCTGCTCTATACTGTAGCTT